GCACAGCGCGGTCTCGGCGCGTCCCCAACGCCGCGCAGAGTCTCTGGGATCTCCTGCAAATGATGGCACCAGGAGGAGGGCTCTCAGCTCCCAGGGGCGCGCGGAGACCACCCACCAACCAACCTCCGGCCCGGCCTCACCTGCACCAGGCACTCGGGGAAGAGACCACAGTGGCCCCGCAGCTCTCCACGCAGCCAGCCCTGTACAGGTCCCTTGCACACCTGCCGGACCAGGTCCCCGGGCGCCAGGCTCAGCTCGTCGTCCTTCTGCGCGCGATATCCGGCCAGGACCAGCACCTCTGAGGGCGGAGGATGGCGCGGGGACGCGGCTCAGAGTGGCCGAGTAGGGACCGACTGGCCATGGCCCGAGTCCGGGGCCCCGTATGGACAGCGGGAGAGCGGGGTGGTGGTGTAGGCTTTTGTCGCCATTTCCACGCGGTTGCAGAGAACAGCCACCCCAAACCCTCGGAACATACCCATGGCTTCCGGGGCGCCCTCCAGAGCCGGGCAGGGAGGATAGCGCAGTCCCGCTGGCAGATGAGTACTGGGTTCAGGTAGGGTGGGACAAGCCGCGAGATTGTGAAGCAGAGGAGGCGGAGACGGGAGCCGATAGGTCTGGCTCCAGGTGCCGGGAGTGGGTGTGGGAGAGGGGGCGGCCCGGCTCAACAAGTTCTGTCCCCAACCCAGGGGTGATTAAGTCCAGGGCCTCGGACCAGTGCTGGGGCCACAGCTCCCCTACATGCTCTTGTCTGCCTAGACGCCTAAATTAGCGACTTCCCCTCTTCTAGCCTCGGCCCTGAGGCCCCCATCCACCAATAGCACTGAGCCTTCCCTGGCTTCCCCTCTCCCAGCTGGCAAGCTTTTAGCTGCCGGGGAAAAGGTGGGGAGAGGCACATACCAGGGTGGCCCCCCCCCCCAGCAGGCAGCAACCGCTTTAAGGCGGGTCCTGGGTGGAGGGGGTGGTTGCTCGTGTGTGCACAAAGCTATTGCTGCTTTCCCAGGGAGGCATATTCCTCCCTGGCCTACCCCGCTCTTCAAGAAAGGAGGAAGAGTACAAAAAACTTCTTTCGAGCCACAGGGGCCTGGTTTTGTTTCAGCAAATACCTCCAGATTCTCCTTGGGAGGAAAGCAGGAAGGGAGCCTCAGGACCTTTTGAAGTTCCTGCTCCCTACAGCCAAGGCCAGAGTTGGCAAGGGCTGAAGGTTAGGGCCCACCTAATGCCTGCCCCACATGGGCTAGGCTTTCAGGCCATCTTCCTGCTCAGGGTAAACACAGAAGACCAAACCTGTTATCCACACCCCTTGACCTCTGCCCCACCACTATGGAAGCCAAAGTCCTTGCTTATGACACCAGAATGAAAAAATCTGGTTCTCCTAGGGTGTCCAAGGTACAGAATATAAAGCAAAACCACTGGAATGCTAGCCAGCACAGGGGTGGCTGAGGCCCCTCCAAGAACTACTGAGAATGGGGTGTAGAGGATGGGGCTGATTAACACTCTGGGCCCAGCCTCCAGACATTTTTGTCTTCGATGTTCCCTGAAGCTGCTATGGGAGACATCCACCCTACCCCCAACACACACACACACTCAAGGTGACAATGATCAGAGCCCATAATACATCTGCCACTTCATTTATTTTATTTGCAGGAGGAGTCGAAACAAATTTTAAGGGTATTTTCATTTTTTTCCCCCTAAACATGAATCATTCAAGTAAAACCAACTTAACTATAGAAATGTAGCAAAGTAAGGGGAAAGTAGCACAACAACCCAAGAGGCAAAGGTTAGGGGGGAAGAGGTGGGTGCAGTCCGCATATAACATATGCATAAATGCCATATGATTCACCTGCTCAGGACCGCCTCCCCAGAAGGCAAGCACAAGGACCCATTTTAAGAGGGTGTTTTCCCCCCCAAACATCTGAGAATGTTTCAACTTAAAGCTTAAGGTTAAAAAAAAAGGAAAAAAAAACAAACCCCCACAAACCACCCAGCCATAACCACCTTCCTTAATCGATCATAGGAGTTTCTTTTCATTTTTATAAAAAGATTAATAAAAAATATTGAAAAAATTATTTTCTCATCTTATATTTGTAAAGATAATAGAAGTCAGAAGTTTCTTAGAAAACAGACCAGAAACTGCCATCCAGTTTCCACCCCTGTTGCTGAGAGGATCAGCAGGACTAGAAAGTTTGGGATACTGGAGCTGCTGGTAGAGAAGGGGGTGCCCAGCCCAGAAGAAATCAGAAAATACTCTGGGGGGGAGGGGGACCACACATGGGGTGTGGTTAGGAGTAACACCACGTGATACATGGCTGCGCAGAAAAGGGGACACAAGGTGGTCAGAAAAGCCTTGAACTCCTCCTCGACATACAAAACCGATTTTTACAAAGATCCAAGCAGTTTGGTCCCAAACTGAGGTGAACACTTCAATGTTTATTCACATGCTTTGTTTTCTCTTTTAAGAATCAAAGTTGCTCAAATTAAATCTTTCTGCTAATATTACTATATATGCCTAAAAAAAAAAAAGAAGGGCTTTTAAAATCAGGGTAAGGGAAAAGAGATTGAAAATCATCAAGTTAGTCCACTTAGCTCCAAATGAAATGAAATGAAGAATAAAACTGTTGGTTTCTAACAGGGAACAAACCAAAATCCAAGAATCGCTCTGCCCTCCCTACCCCAGCCCCCACCCCACACACCAACAACAAAAGAGAAACACACAGCTAAAGCCCAATGTGGTGTGTTCTGATCAAGAGCTGGGCCTGACCCCAGGCCCCACGGCCAGTGGCCTCTGTCCAGTGGGACACAGCGCCAGGGACGCTTTCGGCTGTAGTAGGATTTTGCATGGCTGGTGGGGTGCAGGGGTGGGATTTTCAGAATCTTCTTGAGGCTCCTCTAGCTCCTCACCAGCCATCTTCCCAGCACCTCTCTCCCTTGGTAGGGGCTCCCGTCAAGAGTGCCCGCTACTCAGTTGTGGGCTGTAAATTGTCCTTCTCTTCTCGGTTCTCTGTCCCACTCTCGTCGTCTTCAATCTCCCCTTCCTCCCCACTGAACTTGTCGTGGGCCCATTTGGGGCTGGTGCTGGATTTCCGAAACATGAACCGGCCCCGGCCCCGGGGAAAGGCTCCTCGGCCGCGGCCCCGGCTCACCCACTTCTCATTGCCTTCGCCTTCTCGGTCATCGTGCTGAGGGGAAGAAAACTGCCATCAATGCCAGGGTGCACAAACAAGAGCAGCTAGAACCCTCTCCTTGGCACCCACCCAAATATGACTTTCTCAGATGAACCTATGCCCTTCTCCTCCTCCCAGTCCCTGACCAAAAATACTGATTCAGATCTGAGAACAGTCAGCTGGGTTCCTTGAATTCTAAGTTGCTTAGGCATTATGATGATGATAAAATCTTCACGGAGCACTCAAAGACCTTTTCTTGCATTATCTCATGTAATCCTCACATCTACCCTATCATTATCACCCTCCACTATGCGGATGAGGAAACAGCCTGAGGAACTTTAACTCCGTATTATTTAGTACACCACCTTTCAAAGGGCGAGTTTGAGAATGTCAATCACCCCAAAACATGAAACTATGTCTGATCTGGGTTGTCAGGCAGCTAACAAAGGAAGCAACACAGAATAAACAGCTGGGACTCCGGCTCTCCCCAACCCTCCCCACCTCAGCCAAGAACAGGCAGTGAGACCAAGGACAAATGATGTGCTCATGGTCACAGGCCAGTTAGTGGCAAAGGCAGGACCAGAACCCAGCCTCCTATCTTGTCATCTCCCCTCTTTAGTTTTACACAAGGAGGCAATGTGGCAGAAAAAGAACAGCCCGCAACTCAAACAATCCCTGCTCTGATGATCTCATGAGAGAGAAGGAGGGATCCTATGAGTGAATGAGAAAGCATTTTCAAAGTCACTGTTACCTCATCATACTCAAGGCTTCAAAGAGTCTAAACCATCCACCCACATAAGTAGTGCCTTAGGCTCCTAAGGAGTTGGCTCAGCTAAGAGCCAGCTGCTTCTTCACTAGCCTAAATGAATCAGGCTGGCAATGCTCCTTCAGGTGGCAGACAGGGGCAAGGGAAAGGGCTTTGTACGGCCTTTCCCCTGCCAGTACCTACGCAGCCCAAGGCCAGTACCTATGCTAGGCCCAGCCAACATTTCTCCTGGAAATGGCCTCAGGTTCAAGGGTCCTCTAGGAATCTCAAAGTAGCTCCCCGCAACCCTAGAAAAGCGAAGTTGGCTATGCACAGTGATTTTTTTAGAACACTTTTTTATTGAGTTATAGCCATTTTATAATGTTGTGTATATATATATAATGTATAATGCACAGTGATTTACACAACAACCTGTTTCCATGCCAATCGTTCTCATGGGTGATGAGAGACTCAGCAATTTTACCTTGGTTATAACACTCAGTTACATCTGCTTGGATCTGAACAAGCTGTTGACCTAACAAGGCCAAGAGAGTTCACTCACTGGACAGGTAATTCAGTGCAGAAGAGCCCTACCCTAGGAGAGGGAGAGAGGCCCAGAAGGGGCCTGGTATCTGACAATGACCAACAGCTTGGAAGAGAGAAGCCCCAGTGGCATTTCATTTTGAAGACAGATCCCCAATTTTCAGAAAGAGATCCTGAGCTGTCTTTCCTGTCAATCTTGTGCTGCAGAGCAACAGTGATTGCGGCCTCAGGGGAACATTATGGCTCTATCCCTTGGGTAAAGGCTAGAGGGAGGCTGAGGTTAGGGAGGGTGAGCAGTAAAATAATTTCAGACTAAAAAGGTAAGAGTAATCTTCCCTGCTTACCCTGGGATCCATAAAAATCTTAAGAGAACTCTTTCAAGGTCAGGACTGCCTCTCTAGAGAACACTAACCTTGCCAGCACGATACTATCCCACAAGTACACATGTACCCAGTGCAATGCCTGCACACACATTTAATCAGTTTTGGAGAGACCAATTAAGGCCTGGGTATCAGTTACTGTGTGTGCCAAAGGCCCTCTGGCCCTCCCTGGCTATTCCCAGACACATACCAGGTAATACTTCTTGCTTTTGGGCGTGTACTCGGGATCCCACTCCTCCTCCCTGTTTCTCTTCTGAAAATCATTGCTGCTGCTGCTGTTGTTGTTACCAGAGTAGCTGCCTCTGCCCCAGCCTCTCCCTCTGGCTCGGAACTGCTGCGGCAATAAATGAGGGGAAAGGAACAAAGGAACCGTGTAAGGAATGGAGGAAAACAACTCCCCGTCTTCATTCAAACATCTTTTTGGCACGAAACAGACAGCTGTCCTCCAGTCAACATACTGGTCAACTGGTTTCCAGCCATTCCCTTTCTGTTCATTTCAAGTCTATAGACTAGACAGAGGCCAACATGGTGCAAGGACCTCCCTACACACAGCAGGAGTCAAGGTAAGTGGGGAAGTTCAGACCAGAAGCCCTAAATGGCTTTCTGGCTAAGTGACTACGAATGGGGGTGGGCAATAAAAACTAAAAATGGAAAGCCCAGGGAATGGGAATCCAGATTCTAGGATCTCTAGGCTGGATTATGGGCATCAAAGGCAACAGAACTAGTATTCTGATAAGCACGTAATTAGAATTGGTGCGAGTATGGGGCTTAGAGAAAGGGAAAAGGGGCGGGGTCTTACAAAAGTCCCTCGAGCTCTGCCTCCTCTCTCACTTGGACCCACAAAGTCTTTGGTCCCCAGTCTTGATTTGTCAAAGCCTGTGGTACTCTCCTCTCTCTCCTCTGTCTCTTCAGTGTACTCTTCCGCTTTGTAGGAGTGGGATGACTGGGAGGAAGATGATGATGACCTGGACCGGTCTCGTGCTCTCCGGTGCTTCCTATAAAACAACAGAAGAGCCATGGAAATCGATAAGCCTCTAAGGTACAGCCCTCAGCTAGGGGCTCATGGATAAGAAGCACAGGGCAATTAGGAATGTGTCTGTGATGAAGACACTGAAGACAAGTAACCTGAAAAGCAACTCATCCCCAACACACCCACTCAGGGAACCTGAAGAGCTTCCTCCCAATTCTGTCAGTCATGTTCAGGACACATCTGTGCCTGAACCTGTGATGAACATGGGACATACACAGGGGGAAGAACAAAACACAGTCCATGGCCCCTGGTAGCTCAGTGTAATATACACGCATGGATTAGAAAGGCAGAAGGAAACTAACACCGCATTACTAGCCACAGCATATCTGGTACTGGGAAAGGCTTTATATATTGCCACCTGTTTCCGCTTTATATTAGCTTTCTTTCTTATAAGAACACGTCCTCCATGCAGTCGCTCTAAAGATTTAAAAAAAGGTGCCTAAACACTTTACACTGACATAGCAGGCATGCAGTAAATGGCAATTATGATTATTCAGTATTATTTTCCCCATTTTTTAGCTAAGAAGTTCAGGTGACACAAGAGTTGAGGAGACCTGGATTCAAACCTAGCTCTGACTAATTAATTATATCACTACTTTACAAACCACA